GTTTGGCAATCCAGCACTCACTCAGACATCTAATGCTATAAATCTCAATTTACATAAATGAAATCCACCAAATTTTTTAACATCTCRAGTAAGATGTGACAGTTTCATTAACAGATGTGAGGTTTCATTCAGATGTGAGGTTTCATTAACAGAAGTATGACATTCAGCACCCTCCATATTCCAGGGGAAGCACAAATTAATTCACCTAAAAATAATTTTTTGTGTATCATTATCAAGRCAAGTAGACACTATTTAGTCCCAGTGAGCAGTAACTTCAGTCAACCTTAGGSCAGCAACTAAAACAGGGTTTGTCAGAAAGATGTCAAAATTGCTTGGAAGATCAGCAGGCACCCATTGAAGTCCATATGCATACGCAAAGTTTTATAAAGGCACATGTAAAAATAAAAACTACAGTGTTAGCATAGAACAGATAGCATCTTTTTCAGAGTGACAGCATAGAATAGATGACATCTTTTTCAGAACCAACAACTCATCAGTTTTAAGGTCTGACTTTATGTCAAACTAATTTTCTGACTACAGTATTCTCAAAACAGCAGGACAACTATACAGCAAATGATGCCTTCTGGGTTTTGYTGGTTTAATTCTATCAAAATTGGAGCCTCTGAGAAACCCTAGATGAACAACTCTGAAGTCCTCTCTATAAACAAAGACAGTGCAGACAGCACTTCAGAGAGCAGTAGCACACGTTTTCTATTCTCTGCAAAATATTAAGAAGAAAGGTTCATTTTTGCACTGATCCCCTTGTTTTCTCCATCCAATTTATAGCATTACTTCCCATAAACTATGAAACACATTCTAAAATTACAATAAAATGAAAGCACAGTACTTTAGTCTTCCAGCTATAATAATGACTTTAAAAGAGGGGGTTATTTGGAGTTTCAATACATTGATTATTTAACTTCCTAAGACAAAGAAGTATTTGGCTGCTTAAAAACTGAATGCCTGAAACTAACGCATTTGATTCACAGACCTAACACCGAAGAAGAATAAGRCTACAAAAAAATTGCAAATTGTGGACACTATCTGATTGGAAATAGGTTGACAGACTAGTAAAAGCATGAGAACTATTTGTTTTTCAATTCATGTCATCTAAACAAAACACCTAAAACTACAGCAAGAACAAATCAAAATCAACCYGAATCATGAAAAATGATAAAATTTACAGCTAAATTACTGAAACCTGACAGCAATAATCTTCCATACTCTGTTTTTTAGATAACTTACAGTATTTTCTSAGTATTACATCTGCTGTTATTATTGATTAGTATTTTGTTCTGAGATTTATATTTCTGTACCACTCACAGCAGTTTTAAATCTAATTATTGCAGGTAGGCATAAAATTAGGTAGGTGCTCAAGTATCCAGTTACACATCATTTGTGAAATAGGCAGATAATCATGGGAAAGAATGTACAGGTTTAGCAGGGGAATGTAGCACACTGAGATAGATATAGATATAGATATAGATATAGATATAGATATAGATATAGATATAGATATAGATATAGATATAGATA